GTAAGATAAGACCTTCGGAACAGGCATTTTTTTAAAAGAAAAAAAGTTTTTTTATGAACTGCCCTAGTAGGGCAGTAATTGTTCCTTGATAATTTGTCACCCCCTCCATGATGGCACCTGGGGTGGCCTGCCCTTTCCTATGCCCCTGGTTGTTTGTTTATAAAACATCTCTTCTGAATTACTACAGTGAATGGTACCAGGAGTGAAATACAGTATGGGAAGGTACAATGGAATATTTGAGAGCTCTGCACTCTTTCTTTTCTTTTCTTTTTAAATATATATTTTATTAAAGGTTTCTTGGTTCACAAAAGTATATGCAATGTCTCTTTTTTCAAGTTACATTTTTTTACAGATCAGTTTCAGGCAGCTGGGAAATTGAAGAGAGTGTTTAAAACAGGCTCTCCCCTCCCTTTTCAGAGTCTCTCCCTCCCTATGTCACACATAGTCATTTGTACCTATATATTCTCTTTCTAATAATACAAAAGATGGGGCTATCCTGCCAAGCTGTTGGGAGATTGACAGACATAAGGAAATACTTCTTCACAGAGTGCATAGTTAAACTCTGAAATTTGCTACCACAAGACAAATGGATGTTAAACAAAATGGGTATTGATAGTATTATTCAGTTTCTGTCTGCTAATGTTGAAAGTCTTAATATAGTACATGGGAAAGGGTAGCAATCAGTTGAGGCCCTTTCACCACAACAGCATAAAAATATGCACAAACATCATATACTAGTGTAAATGTGCACATACAAAAATATATTATATAAGGGGAAATTGCTTTTAGAAATTATTATATTGGAGAAAATTCATATTACACCGCTGGTGAATTTTCATGAAACCTAAAAAAGAAGAAGATGAAAACTGATGTGGAAATATGGAGATCTGAACTCAGAATGGGAAACAGAAAAACTGGAATCAATTAACAGCGAAATCCTATGCAATGTAGATTCAGAAGCAAGTCCCATATAGCTTAATGTGGCTTCCACCTAGGTTAAGTACGTACGAGATTGCAACCCAAAGCTGTAGCCTGAGACACACTTACTTGAGAGTAAGCCCCATTGAACTCAGTGGGACTTACTTCTGAATCTACACTGTATGTGAGTGATATTGCTGTCCCCTCTAACTAGTTCAGAGCAAGCAGAGGATGCATCATCAGATTTCTGCAGGCTTACATCAGAGTCAAATCAAATTGCTTCCATCAAAACCTCAGGACTGCAATGATTTGCAATTAGTGCAGTCTAGTGCTAGCCTTGTAATCAGAAATCACAGCTATGATTATTTGAACTAGAAAGGAAAAAGAAATGTACCAAGAGAATATAAGAATCCAAAAGATGCTAAGCTATAACGTAAAAACCAGCTTGCAATCATTGATTTAAAAAAAGCAGATACAAGTGGTTTAAATAACTAAATAAAAAAATAAGAAGGGAATCCCCATCCCTATATATTTACCTGCAGGCTGTTAAGTCCTTTTGCATTCTGGGTGCCACCTTTGCCACCATGATTAAAAGACAGGCAGAGAAGATTGCATATGGACTATTGCTTCCAGGGGAAAGATCCAAGAAGTTGAGAAGACAATCACTGGGTGGGAGAGACCCAAATGTGGCCCCAGAGAAGCTGGAGGGGAGCTTCTCTGTGCTGCAGAAGAAGGGAAGGAGGAGGCTTGGTCTTCAGGTTGTGACAGGGAAGAAAATAAGGGAAGAGCTGAAACATCTGCTGAGCATGCAGAAGGTCCCAGGTTCAGTCCCAAGCATCTCTAGACAGGGCTGGGAATATTCCTTGCTTCAAACCCCAGAAAGCCAAAAGCAGCCTGTGTAGACCGCATTGAACTAGCCAGCCCAGTGGTCTGACTGTATAAAGCTGCTACCTACCTTTCTTTCCTAAAATTCAGGGGGAAGTATTTTCTTGTCTTCTGCTGCCATCTCCTGGTATACCATAGAATAGATAGATAGATAATTTATTACGGTCAAAGACCAGCTCACGTAACATAACAACAATAAAAACAGTGTTCATAAAGATAAAATATACAATCGGAGAAGATTGCAGCAATAGCTCATGAGTTAAAATTGAGATACCGTATTTTTCGCCCTATAGGACGTACCGGCCCATAGGACGCACCTAGTTTTTTGGGGAGGAAATAAAGGGGGAAATTTATTCCCCCCCCCAGCCGCGGCTTCAGCGCGCCCCGCGCTCCAGGCAGCAGGCTGCTATCCGCAGCCTAGGGAGCCCTGCGGGAACTCCCACGGGCTCCCCAGGCTTGTGGATAGCTTCCTGAAGCCTGGAGAGCGAGAGGGGTCGGTGCGCACCGACCCCTCTCGCTCTCCAAGCTTCAGCGAAAGCCTGCATTTGCCCCATAGGACGCATCCCCTTCATTTTTGGAGGGGGAAAGGTGCGTCCTATAGGGCGAAAAATACAGTATATACCATAGAATGATAAACCACCAAATCTTGCTAAAGGAGAAAAATGGGCACATCACATCTCCTGTTGCTGTCCTTGGACTGGGCAGATAGTGGTGCTTGGTTGCTGCTAACTCTCTAACAGAGTTGGGTTAGCAAAACTTGGAAACTGGCAGTTCTAACTTGTGTCCAATCAGATCTCTTTCCGTAAGCTCTCAGCCTTCCCTACCTACCTCACAGGCTGCTGTGAAGATAAAGGGGAAGGGAAAGACAATGTTCACAGTCTTGAGCTCCTGGGAGGAGAATCAAGAGACAAAGATACAATAGCACAAATATGAGCAGTTTGACAGCTCTCAGCAAAAACACATCAACACAAAAAAAAACATTTGGGACACCACTGATATTAAAGCAAAATCCCCATGTTAAAAGCTACAGCAGCTGTAGATGTCTAATTATTTTATGGTTGTATCTGCAGATTACATTTTGCATTTTTATGGTGACTGTATATAATATAATCAGCCCAATGATAACAAGCAGGCAGGGGTGGTTGTGTGGGAGACATGGAAAATCAGGAGGGGGAGACTATAGTATCACATTTTTTTTTCTCAGCAGAAAGGAAACCTCATTTATTTCAAGGGTGTTACTTCTGAGTAAAATCCATAAATTGTTTTTTTTGTTTAACCCTGTAAAGGCAGCACACCTAGGGAGTGAATGGAACAATGATCATGAGCAAATGCTTAGCCAGTATCACCTGCTTTTTCTGCTTCCCTGGTGAGCCCCTCCAAGTCTCAGGTGCAGATGGTCAACATTCCTTCCTCTGTTGCCATGAGCAGCAGTGATTAAACATCTAGCAATGGTGCTACCTGCAGAGTGCTGAAGCATTTGGAGCTGCCTTTGCCTTTTGTGCTCTTAAGTTTTCTTCAGAAATCCTCAGCAGGCTTCCTTTTCCTTTTAATGAAAGCTTAGAGTCTGTGGGTCCTGCAGGCATTGGGTCGACAAAAATCCAACCCCTTCTACAAATCTGTTTGCAGCCCTGGTTTGGGGGTATTTTAGGATAACTCTAGGCATCCACCTACCTAATTACTTAGTGACCTTGGTGGGGGGCAGATGAGGGACAAGGACCCCAGGGATGTGACAATAATTGAGGAGCCCTGTGGCAATAATAAATATGAACTTTCTGTAAGTTGGGTTTTTTTTACCTTTTTTAGTTCTAGCTGTTTCGAGAGTGTAGAACTTGCACTCTTTCATAATTGTAACCTGAAGTACCCACAAACTTTGAATGCAACCTCTGCTGCATCGAAGGCTTTGAAGATATCAAGAACAATTGATGCAGTCTTCTGTAGCAGCCATTCCCAACCTGGTGCCCTCTTGCCATTTTGGACTACAATTCCCATCATCTCCCAGCCAGCAAAGGTGATGAAAAGGAAGCAGTTCTGGTTTGAGACGGCTGACCAGCCAGCAAAATCCATTCTAGTCAGTGTGATGGGGTAGAGGCAGCAGGCATCTCCCACCTTCTAGGGCAATTCTAGTATTATTTCATTATGCAATTTGCATTTTTACAAAAGATTAAAAGTACACCCCCAATGAAAATTCCTTTTTTAAAAAAAGGAGCACTGTGATGATTCACACCTTTGAACCCATGCAGAGCTCACTTCTTTCAGGGAAGCTGTTCAGGAGTGACAGGCAAGGACACTGGCTGGGAAACAGAATACTTCCCACTGTTCCTCCCATCCAGCAGCCAGGGTCTTATGTGCAAAGTAGTCATGCCACCCTCTGAACCCTGGCTATTTGCACAAGGATATGCAGAGCTATCCTGTTAATTCTGCTTACACGCTACGTGTAATTAGCACTTCTTTTTAAAAAGCATTAAAATATGTTAATTTGAGCAGGAAAAAGAGACACTATACTCATGAGAAAAATGATAGGTACAAGATGTTCTAGAAAACCTTGGGTCACAACCAGCAACTTGCCCAGGAAAAGCAGCAGGAAAAAATGTAACACTGCAGCTAGCAAAGATTGCAGCCGAGATGGAGCCAATCGCTCTCGTTTAGAGAAACAATAAAACAGCTCACAAAGCGCTACTTTGTATTTATAGCAGGCATGCGTAGGGATACACCAGCTTTCCCCAATCTGGTGTCTTCCAGCTGTTTTAGACCTACAATTCTTATCAGTTATCCCAGCATCAATGGAAATGATGTTGTTTTCACTTCCTTTCCAGAGATATTGTACAGAAGAATAAAAGGCTGGTCCTTTGTAAAGGTAAAGGCAAAGGACCCGACAGTTAAATCCAGTCACGGACAACTCTAGGGTTGTAGCGCTCATCTTACTTTACAGGCCGAGGGAGCTGGCATATGCCTGCATACAGTTTTCCTGGGTCATGTGGCCAGCATGACTAAGCCACTTCTGGCGAAACCAGAGCAGTGCACAGAAATGCCATTTACCTTCCCGCCACAGCGGTACCTATCTATCTACTTGCACTGGTGTGCTTTCGAACTGCTAGGTTGGCAGGAGCTGGGACCGAGCAATGGGAGCTCACCCAGCCGCGGGGATTCAAACCGCGACTTCTGATTGGGAACCACAAGAGGCTCAGTGGTTTAGACCACAGCGCAGCCATATCTCTTTCCTTACACTGTCTCTTGAAAGAAAATGGAAATGGTATTGTATGCACAGAAGTTACCACAGGCTCATATAGTTACCTGCCGAAAAGGCTATTAAGGCATCTTTCTTCTTGAACTGGCCTTTCACATCCAAGAAATGTCCAGGATTGAACTGTTCGGGAGTCTCCCACTGGAGAGGGTCATGGTGCACAGTTGTGAACATTGGAGCAACAGCAGTGCCCTTCAGGGATAGAAGACGGCAGATTTACATTTTTGGTCTCAATTCATGACTATCTAGGAAATAGCCATACTATGATAAAATGATAAAATGGGGATGCTAACTTAGAAGAATGGGTTTCCACTAGGGATGAGTGGATTTATTCTGTTCCACTCCTGTATTAGTCCTCAAGTACACACTGCCTTACATTCCATTCCAATCAATATGACCAGTAGAATTCCTTTTTTAAAAATTATGAAATTGGACCATAAACAGCTGGCTGCATCTATCAGCTCCTTTGGGGGGCAGAGGGATCATTATAGTTCTGTTCTGTGACAGTTCCACCAGCATTCAGTCATAATTCTGCTCCATCCCATCAGACAATTTCTGTTTTAAAACCTCACCAAACACTAGCATTTATATTCTACATCTTTTTGTATGCACTTTCCCCTAAAATACACATTTATGTACCCATTCTCAATCTAAAATATATTTTTGTGTGTTTCTTTGTGCATTTTCCCACTAAACCATTGATTTTAGTACACATTTTCCCCATAAAAGATGCATTTTGTATGCATAGCTCTGTGAAAGACTAATTCCGTTGGTTCATTTTAAAATGTGAACTGAACAAACAATATTCTCCTCTATCACTAGTTCCTTCAGCTCATTTGCTTAGGCCAACAAAATCACTACTGATCTCATCCCTGCCTCTATGAGGGCAGTCCAGGGCCCTTTATACAATCAGTTCCTAAAACTGCACCATTTCTTCTCCACAATTATCATGGCAAAATGCTGGGCCATCATACCTTAGGGAAGGTGAACCCCCTGAATTTTGTATCACAAGACATTGTACGGGGAATGGTCTCATTAATTGATTGTGGGTATCGCAGAATCTCATGGATAACTGCATTGGTGAAAGGCATCCTCACACGATCTTCCATGCTAGGGGCACGGGTGGCACTCATCACCTCATCAATTTCCTGTTGGACTTTTGCTGTAATGAAAAAGACTCAAGAGATGTATTTCCTGGATTCAGATTCTGCTTCTCATCTGACAGAGTGAAAAACTTGGGCACTCTCCGACATCATGAAAACTCATGCCAACACAAATTCTCCTCTTGAGTGATTTCCACTCATTCCTCTGTGCCTTACCATCTTGTTGATCTCCTGCTGGACTTCTCCTGTAACAAATATCATTTGGAAAATGTGCTTCCAGAATTCTGAGGCCCCATCTCTTCTGGCAATGTTCCTACCCCTGGACATAAATGCCATTTGAAGACACCAGGGAGCCCTCAAAACCCTTCCACTTTAAACTTCTCTGGGGTATCTGAATACCTTGAATATGTGGCAGCTTAGCCATCACCATGAGGCCAGAGATCAAGGCAAAGCTTGTGGTTCCTGTCCCAGCCACAAAAAGTCCAAACACTGTCATGACAAGGTTTTCGGTCCTGAAGGTGTCACTAGCAGACTTTTGTTCCTATGAGGCAGAGGGAAAGGGGGGGGGGGAGAGAAATCACTATAAAGAAAAATGGCAAAAAGGAGACACCTTAGCCTGTTCGAATGAGCATCATGGGTGAAATCCTGCACTCACCCCAAGAGGTGTTTAATCCAATCACATGTATTTAAAATAGAATTACTTTTGAAATATAAAGAAAAGCACTTGCATATCATTGCATTACAAGCGTTGTGTTGTTTGATTACTGGAATGTTAGAGCTAACCAAGATTATATACAGTGGTACCTCTGGTTAAGAACTTAATTCGTTCTGGAGGTCCGTTTTTAACCTGAAACTGTTCTTAACCTGAAGACCACTTTAGCTAATGGGGCCTCCCGCTGCTGCTGCGCTGCCGCCGCACAATTACTGCTCTCATCCTGAAGCAAAGTTCTTAACCCGAGGTACTATTTTTTAGTTTGTAACCTGAAGCATCTGTAACTTTAAGCGTCTGTAACCCGAGGTACGACTGTATATCTGAAAATATATGGGATCAGAAATTATAGGAGTGATGGCAGTAAAAAAAAGAGTAACTGGTTATGTATTTTGGTTTGGGCAAAGTAGCTGTCCATGGTACTCATATAGGCTGTAAACTGAGTGAACCAATTTTATTTTTATCGTAAGCACTTGCATTGTTTTGTACAACATTAAGCATAGACTTTAAAACTGGGCACAGGATACCTCAGCCTAATGAATAATGATAATAATTCACAATGCCTTGCAAGGAGTGGCCGAGAGAAGTTGCATGGGGAGGAGGCAAAGGCAGAGGGGCACTCTGGTTGGCCTGGTATCCCTTCCCCACATGGACTAGGACATAACTGGGCACCCATGCCAGTGCAAACAAATTTTTGACCCACATACCTTCTCAGACTTGATAAGGAAACAATCAATATAGTCACGGATGTTCTGAGGATCCAGCGTCTGCATGTGTACTTTCACATTCTCACGGACGAAAGCACACAACTCATCACAATCAGAAAAAATCTTTTGGTGTCTTCCAGGAAAGTAGTCCAATATTTTAGGGACAGCAGAGTACAGCTGAAATGAAGATGACACATCCAGCCTTAAATATTGCGAATCCATCTTTTTATAGTATGCCACAAAGATTCTGGCTGAAAAGTGATAAAGCATTTGTTGTTTTTAATTACTTATTTTGGAAATCCAGCAGGAACTGCTGAGTTTCTGGTTCATTTTACCTCATTCCTAAAGGCTAGGGATGATGGGGCTTCCCTTGAAGATGACTCAGAAATGTCAACTGGTCCAAAATCCAGATTACTGGTTCGGGTTCTGTTTAAGTTTCACATAACCTCTGTTTTAAAAAAGCTGCACACGTTGCCAATTTGTTTCTTGGCCCAATTCAATGTGTTAATATTAGTTTTTAAAGCCCTAAATGACCCAGGCTCCAACTACCTGAAAAAAATTATTTTTTCCTTTCCTGCAGACTTCCTCAGGTGCTAAGAGTGGCAGAGGGCGTCCTATGCCTCTATAGATGTACAAATGTGCCCTTGCAATGTTTACAGTTATACTGCATCCAGAGGGAAATGGTGGCCAGGCGAATGGGGGGGGGCAATGGGAAAGTAAAAGGGGTGGGGTCAGGAAAGGAAAGGGAGATCTGCTGCTATTGGTGAACAGCCCAGTTAAGTCCTCCAACTTTTCTGCTGCCTGCCCTGCTCAAGGGTCCAGTTTCTCCCCTGAAATCATTGGAACTTTGTGGTTGTGTTAATTTCCATCTCAACCCTGTGGAAGACATTTTCAGAACATTATTTTCATCTGATAGTTAGGCAGGCACACATTTGTGAACCCTTTGTGCCATCATTCATACTCCAACAAGCTAGGTTCTGTTTTTCCTTTTCATGGTAGAAAGGAAAATGTTTGCAACTCAGAAGGAACAACCTACCAGTCCCAAGAAAGATTGAAAGAAGTCAACTTGGTTCTCTATAATGCGTTGGTGCTTTAGGAAGGTCTTGTCTGCGTAGTCAAAGCGAGTCCCAAAGATGACTGATGAGATCACATTGGAAACAGCGGATGTGATTCTAGTTGTCGGATCAAAGCCCTGTCCTGTAGGAGGAACCGAAGACAGTCAGCAAGGCCTGATGAAAGTGGAGCCCACCATCTTCAGACCCCAATACAAAATTAACTCTAAAAACTGTTTAAACAGCTTGAACCTGGTAGATTGCATTTCCATCAATCCCAAGAACCAAATGTTAAAGAAATTAAAAGTAGTAGTAAAATGCTGTAATCAAGAGGGCTGTGCACAGCTGTACCCCTGACACCGACCTGATGTGAGGCCTGAATCTGGGTCCACATATTGGCTCCGACACAATATTCAGGGCAACCTGGGCAACACTCAAATTGTATCCAGTCCTAAATCAATTAGGGGGGGCTGTGTTAATTTTTATTTTAAAACTGCAATTAAACATAATTTTTGGGAGGTGAGAGGCAGAAAAAAGAGGCACTGGGTTTCCTTCTCTCCCCACCACCGCCACCTACCCCATCCACAGTCCAAATAATCAAACCCCCCTTCATTTCTTTGCTGTAACATTCCACTTAATTAACTTATCTGATGCTAATTCTGCTAGCATTGCCTGCAACAGAGTTTCAGGTGGCCCACAAGGCCATGTTGACACTAAATAAAAATAAGCCCAACAACTTTCACTGAAACAATTTGCACACAGTGTGCACCCCTGTTATGTACTGAGTTGAATAGGATCCAAACTGCAGCAGTCTGATTGGTCCTAGAACAATAGGATCCAAAAGGCAGCAGTCTGATTGGTCCTAGAACAATAGGATTCAGAATGCAGCAGTCTGATTGGTCCTAGAACAATGCAGCAGTATGATTGGTTGGCAGGAACTACCCAATCATGCTCCAGATAGAAGTGAATCCACAACCTGATTGGCTTACAGTAGAATTCCGGAATTAGCCAATCAAGTGCAGCCCATTGTGTAAATAATGTATATAAAGCAGACCCCTCAGACATTCATTCATTCCTCCTCACCACTATGAGCTGAATAAAGAGCATGAAATCACTTTGCGACTCTGAGTATATTTCACTGGCGACGAAGGTGGGATCCCGCTGAGCTGACTGCCACATACAGCACCGCAGCACCGCCACCTGCCGCACCGCTGCCTCGCACCGTGTATCCAGGCTTCAGCTCCGGGACACAAGGAACTCAGAATGGCAACCGACAACAGCTTCTCGCCGTTCAACCCAGCATCTGGAGACTGGGAAGCCTACGCCTCCCGTTTCACCTTCCTCCTAGAAGCCAAAGGGGTCACCGACGAAGAAGACACCAAGAAGAGGGCGATATTCTTCAGCGTCTGCGGAGAGGAGACGTTTGAAATCGCCTGGGCTCTCCTTGCGCCTGAAGACGTTGCTACTGTTCCATACAAAACAATAATGGAACAGCTGAAGGGGCACTTTTCGCCACAGCCCTCAGTGGTGGCTCATCGAAATGCCTTCTACGCAAAGCGGCAAGCCCCTGGGGAAACCATAACTGGGTTTGTGACCTCTCTCCGCCAAGCCGCCCGGTTCTGCAACTTCTCAGAGCTGGAGAACATGCTTCGTGACCGCCTCGTCGGTGGCCTGAAGGATGAGAAGCTGCAACGACGCCTCTATGCTAAGAAGGACCTAACGTTCCAGGTCGCTCTGGAGGAGGCCCTGGCAATGGGTCTGCTGGCCCAACGCACCCGGGGCCCAACGCACCAAGGCAACTCAACGGAGCTCACGGACTTCCAGGTATACCAGTTGCCCCACCCCAACGTAGAGAAAATTTATGTAGAGGTACAGATAGAGGGGACCCCATGCTGCATGGAGCTTGACACGGGTTCAACTCTATCCATAATCTCGGCAAGGACCTTAAGGAAACTGGGGGTCCCAAACTCAGGCCGGCCCCATTCACCCTCCGGGACTTCCAGAAACGTAAGGTCCCCACAATGGGGGTGGGGACCTTCAGGGTGCAATACCGAGGGCGGACGCGGCAACTGGACTTGCTGGTGGTCAAGGGCCCCTACATTAGCTTACTGGGATTGTCATGGTTTGGACCACTGGGACTAGCCGTCACCGGGGTGAACCACACTAGCTTACAAGTGGACGTGGATGCCATATGCAAGGAATTTCCGGGGGTTTTCGATGGGAAATTGGGACAGTATACCGGCCCCCCCCATTGCTCTACAGCTTGACCCCGCAGTACGACCGGTCAGGCTCAAGGCCCGCCGGGTCCCGTTCGCCCTGAAACCCCGTATTGACGAGGAATTGGACCGGCTCGTGGAGCAAGGAGTGCTGGAGCCGGTGCCTAATGCCCCCTGGGAAACCCCAATCGTCACACCCATCAAGCCTAATGGTTCGGTCCGCATCTGCGCAGACTACAAATGTACCATAAACAAGGCCCTCACGGCCCATGCATACCCAGTGCCAGTGGTCAGCCATGTTCTTGCCACCCTGGCTGGGTCGAAAATTTTTGGCAAGCTGGACTTGGCCCAAGCATATCAACAGCTGCCAGTAGATGAGGCCACAGCAGAGGTACAGACGATTGTGACGCACAGAGGAGCATTCAGGGTAAAGCGACTGCAATTCGGTGTCAGCGTGGCACCAGGCATATTCCAGAATCTAATGGACTCTCTACTTAAAGGGATCCCTGGCGTCACCCCCTTCTTCGATGATGTGTTGATTGCCGGGCCCACACCAGAGGAGTTTGAGGACCGCCTCCGCACCGTTCTGCACCGTTTCCAGACGGCGGGTCTCAAGGTGAAGCGGGAAAAATGTCTACTAGGAGTGCCTCAGGTGGACTTTCTGGGATTTATGGTGGACGCAGAAGGGGTCCACCCAACTGGGGACAAGGTACGGGCCATTTGTGATGCCCCAGCGCCCAAGAACAAGACTGAACTTCAGGCCTTCTTGGGACTATTGAACTTTTACCATTCCTTCCTTCCCCACAAGGCGGCGGTAGCGGAGCCCCTACACAGACTCCTGGACAAGCGGGCCCCTTGGGTGTGGGGCCAGCGCCAGGAGGCCGCATTCCAGGCAGTCAAGGACTTGCTTGTCTCAAACTCGGTCTTGGCACACTTCGACGAGAGGCTGCCAGTGGTGCTAGCATGCGACGCCTCGCCCTATGGAATTGGCACTGTCCTGGGACACCAACTCCCGGATGGAAGAGAGGTACCAGTGGCATACTTTTCCCAGACACTCAACGCAACCGAGCGGAACTACTCACAAATCGACAAGGAGGGTCTGGCAATCGTGAAGGGAGTAAAAAAATTCCATGATTTCTTGTACGGGCGGCCCTTCACCGTGGTGACTGACCACAAACCGTTGCTTGGCTTGTTTGCCCCTGAAAAGCAGACCCCCCAAGTGCTGTCTCCTCATGTCCTCAGGTGGTCAATTTTCCTTGCCAGCTACCAGTATGCACTGATTCACCGTCCGGGGAAGGCGATGGGCCATGCGGACGCCCTCAGCAGGCTACCACTACCGGAAACAGGCCCCGACCCAGCACCTGCACAAGAGGTTATGAGCCTGGAGCTGCTTCCCGACCGCCCCATTCAGGCACAAGAAGTTGCACACCATTCCAAGAAAGATAGGGTCATCTCCCGGGTCCTGGACTGGGTGTGGAGGGGATGGCCCAGCAGCAGCCCCGGGCCAGAATTCGCTGGCTACACAACCCGCAAACATGAACTGTCGGCCCACAAGGGGTGCCTGTTATGGGGAAGCAGGGTCATTGTTCCCCAGCCCCTCCGCAAAAGGGTCCTCACAGCCCTACATGAGACACACCCAGGGGTAGTAAGAATGAACGCCCTCGCCAGGAGTTATGTGTGGTGGCCGGGGATCGACGGAGAGATAGAGGCCTGGGTCAAACACTGCCAGGCCTGCCAAGAATCCCGCCCAGATCCCCCAAGGGCCCCAGTCCAGTCCTGGGAGTCCGCCCGAGCACCATGGTCACGCCTGCATGTGGACTTCGCTGGCCCCTTTCAGGGGAAAACATTCTTCATAGTGGTGGACTCCTACACCAAATGGCTGGAAGTCGCACTGGTACCGTCCACTTCTACGTCCGCAGCCATCCGGGTACTACGCAGGCTGTTTGCAACCCACGGGCTCCCTGACACTCTCGTCTCAGACAATGGGACTGCATTCACGTCAGGAGAATTCCAAACCTTCACAGCGCAGAACGCCATCCGCCACATCCGTTCGGCGCCATTCCACCCTGCCACCAATGGCCAAGCAGAACGCATGGTGCGGACCACCAAGGACACCCTTCGCCGCATGACGCAAGGGGATTGGGAGTACCGCCTTGCCACATTCCTTCTAGCACAGCACAGCACCCCCAGCTCAACGACTGGCCGGAGCCCCGCTGAACTACTAATGGGTCGGCGCCTTGCAATCAGATTGGACCGCCTTCACCCCGATAGAGCTCAGGATGAGGTAGTGGTGGGGGAAGGCAAGAACCCCCGGACCTTCGAGACCTACGCAAAGAATTTTGGGGCAGGCCCAGCATGGGTACCCGCCACAGTCACCAGGGTCACTGGCCCCGTGTCATATGAGGTGCTAACGGATGGGGGGCAATGCTGGCGCCGCCACTGCGACCAGATACGGCAACGATTCCCGGGAGAAAACCAGGAGGAGGAAAGGGCAGAGGAGTCCCAAGGGAACAGAGGGGCAGTGAGGCCCATAGAGCACGAGGGGCCAGCAGGAGAGGCAGAATCAGTAAATACAGAGAGGACCTGCGAGGCCGAAAGGACACCAGAACCAGAACCACGACTGAGCGAGCCGGTTGCGCCAGACCAAACAGCCCCATCGCAGCCAGCATCCTTGGAACACGAGCCAGAACCTGAACCCCGGACCAGGGAACACCCCAGGCCGCAACGCACACGTAGGCTGCCGGCGTACCTCAAGGACTATGAATGCGACCTCCCGGGCAGGACTGGAACTTAGAGGGGAGGGGTGTTATGTACTGAGTTGAATAGGATCCAAACTGCAGCAGTCTGATTGGTCCTAGAACAATAGGATCCAAAAGGCAGCAGTCTGATTGGTCCTAGAACAATAGGATTCAGAATGCAGCAGTCTGATTGGTCCTAGAACAATGCAGCAGTATGATTGGTTGGCAGGAACTACCCAATCATGCTCCAGATAGAAGTGAATCCACAACCTGATTGGCTTACAGTAGAATTCCGGAATTAGCCAATCATGTGCAGCCCATTGTGTAAATAATGTATATAAAGCAGATACTTTGAGGGGACATTCATTCATTCCTCCTCACCACTATGAGCTGAATAAAGAGCATGAAATCACTTTGCGACTCTGAGGATATTTCAACCCCTAAGAAGTGTAGGTAGATTCTCTCTCATAGGCATTACTGGATTAGTGGGAAATACTACGGTGGAAGTACAACACATGAGTTGGTGTTCACATGAGCGTGGAGAGAGTTGAAAGGACAAATGGGAAAAGCTTGCCTCTCTGCTGCCACTGAGCCTAACAGCCACATATTCTAACTATGTCAAAAGCTAACATACTATAAGTGCCCATTCCTATATTCAATTTAATAAATATCCTCTCCTTGCCCTGGGATAGTGCTTTATCAGTTTTATTTTTTAATGAGCTAGATTACCTTTTGTGGCTGCCAATGCCTCCACCAGACACACAGCCTCCTCCTGCACCCTCTCAGACATGGATCTCTTCCCCATTCCAAAGTCTCTCAGTGTCATAACCGTGAATCTGCGCAGCTCTCTCCATTCTATGTCACTAGAGTTAACTATCCCTGGGGGGAAAAAGAGGTGAAGGTCATTCTGTCAGTTCTTGACCCAACAGGAACCAGCAGGAAGTTTCTACATGAAAAGGTAGTTCTGGTGCTTTCCACCTTAAAATTATATCCCCATTTGTAGTTACAATCCGGCAACTAATTGTTGCCCCCAAGAGCCCAGTCCCTTGTTGTGTAAGGGATTTTTGTTTCTTTGGTTGCATAAATAGGTATGTCCAGTGCCACATAACAAAGTAAATAACGGATGGTAAGAGACATGGCATCACCCCCTTGCCTGCCTGTAGCCCACACTGTTAGCTGCAGTTGGGGTGGGAAGGTGAAATCAGGTCACCCATGTTCAGAATGACATTTTATTGGCACTGGAGAGAGGTAGCAACGTATACTGTTGCTATTTTCAGTTTGCAGACTCAATAAATGGTTGATGTTTATTTATTTTCTTAAGTGATTGCGTAAGGGACAGCTTCCCTGGATCAAAAAAAGCAGCTTCTTTGGGGGGAATTGATTTTCAAAAATGGTTCTTTGGAGAAGCAAGCCACAGAAAAAAATAATGCCTTGCTTGATAGTGTTTGTCTTTCTTTCTTTTCTTTCTTTCCTAGACATGATGCTAATTATCATGCACATTTTGGGGGACTGCATTACAAATCAAAGTAGAGCTAAACTATACATAAAAAGTAAGAAGAAATAGTCTACCGTGGCCTTTGGTCACTCGATCAATGATGGGGCTGTTAATACGCCCACCAAACGCTTCAGCATGATCCACCAGAGCGTCTTTTACCACATCAAATCCACAAAGCACGACCATAGGTTTGGGTCCCATCCAGATTGTGAACATAGGGCCGTATTTCTCAACCAGCTGAAGGCACAAAGAAAGTGTTATTTAATTAGGCAATGAAACTTCTTTTGGAGTAATTATCTTAAGGAATGGTTGCAATATCTCTTAGGGCACCTGCAACTTGTTTTGTGCGGGGTTTTGCAGGCATATGCTGCAACATGTTGCAGATGCAGTAACTGCACATTAGTGGCAGAATTCAGCTTTATTAGTTGTTCCCCAATACTTCCTCAGTGTTATTACATTATTGCCATCTGGAGGGATACTGTCAAGATTCAGGGAATCCTATCCCTCCCCCAGTGGCAGCCAAAAAAGCAGATAAAGAAGAAGAGGCCTTACCATGTAATTTATTCAGTATTCACACACAGAGAGAAAGGAATGTAGTCCCTATTAAATAATGGCATTACTCCAAGTAAATTCCAACACCTCCATCTTTCTTATCCTACATCATCCCTGCGCCAGCTGATATGGGCTTTCTGTCTCTGAGCTTTTTGTTCTAGTACTCTCAATGCATGCCTAGTCCTGGGAGAGAGGGGCTCAGGAATGCTTTCCAAAGATTCTGAGTCTGTTGGCTGTCTCTCCCCCGGTGTTTCTTCTTCCTGCTGTTCCTCTCCCAATATTCCCCAGCATTTCCCCTCTGCAGTCTCTGAACTATGTCCTTCTGCAGACCACTGTTCTAAATCTATACTGTCCTCCTGTTCTCGGGAAGGTTCGGGGGGGGTGGCTCCTACCATTCCTCCTCAGTCCAGACCCTGACAGGTACATTTGTTTATTACATAAAATTTACATCCATACATTGTATATACTGTGGTGCAACAAAAGCAACACGCACCTGAACATTTGGGCTACAACAAGCTATAGGATTTGAACAGGAAGCTATGGGATGTGCACTGAATGGAACAAAACATTGTGTCCACTTCAGAACTTTTGCAAGTACAAACACTACTGGAAATCGGATTGTGTATGATGACTCCAATGTCATCATGAGTACAAATAAGCATGAATGCATAATAAAAAGGACACCTGGATGGCTCCTTAGAGAATGGGCTGCTAGAAGGCTGTTCCTAAATGAGGCGAAACCACATTTTGAACTGCCTTGCAACTTAATGGTTTCAAAATTCCATGTTGGAAACCACCCTGTGATCCTCAGATGATGAGCAGTATAGAAATTTAATAAATAAATGAAATGAAATGAAGTACAAATCTAATGTATATTACTGCTGCTGCTGCTGTGCTTTTTCTAAATGAATATTGCTATTTCATTTAATGCTCTCTTCAGTTAGGTGCCTCCAAACTGTCATTATTATTGCAAGATAAAATCTTGGGTCTATGCAGTTAACATAATCCTAGTGCAACAAATCCACTTTTTTAAAAAATGGACTTAAAAAATGCTTGTTGGAAAGTAATGGGGAAATGTATTGAAAAGCATGTGGTGAATAAATAACTATAAGCAACCTGCAAGCTAACCAGAATGAATGAAGAATGAATGAATGAATGCTCATTATCATAGAACTGGCCTGTAAGCAAATCAAAACAAATGTGATATATATATAAATGTGAATTATAGTATTTTTCTGTCTATAAGATGCCCCCCATGTATAAGACGCCCCCTATTTGGGGGACTCCCATTTAAGGAAATGGGGGAAGATGTATACATGTATAAGACGCCCCCAAATTTTTGACATTATTTTTTATGGTAACTTCTGTTTAAGCTTTGTGGAAGCAAATCAGAATGAATGCTGAATAAACCAATTGTCTGGAGGGATCTTAAGTTGATTCAGGGAAGCTCTAAAGAGCATGCAAAATAGACACATGCCAACAGTAAACAAAACCTAGTAAAATCAAGTAATAAACAATACAAATAAAAATAAGGAAAGAGAAAGGAAGCAGAAATCTGGGCCCCTTCAAAGCATGCCTTTATTATAAGGAAGAATGGAAAAGTATATAAGCAAGCCAGGGAACAATTAACCTTCTGTCCCTCCTCTACACATTGCTTCATTCCAGACAATGGTTGTTTATGCCGTGCCACAGGGACAAGGGAACAGAGAAAAATCGCAACAAGAAACGGCTTTACCTTTGAATAGTTTTTGTTCAGAGGCATGACATCTTTCTGCAGCAGGTTCCCCAGGAAGAACCAGGGAGTGGGGCCTGGAGGTAGCTGGCTTTTCTCCTTGTACATTTTTAAGGAATGGGAAATGAAGATGAAGAGAACCCAAAGAAGGAACAGAGCTCCTGTTACAGCCACTTCCATCTTCCTCTAAGGCTCTTCTTTTGGTCAAATATATCCAGGAAACTACTAAAGAAAGACAAGGTGAAAACACAGCTGCTTATTAGAGCCCCAGCCAAACCCCAACTCCAACTCCAACCTTCTCCAAATAATCTTAGTTCTTTTATTTCCAGTATGTGTTCCACTAGGAAAGATGGGTTAATCATCAACATAAGCTCTAGACCTGGGCTGAAAATAGGTTAATTCCTATGTCTTCAACATCAAGGTTGGGTACAGAATTACATGTTACTGACAACAATGTACATTTTCTTTAACACAGCCATGAAATAATATTATTAAACCATAATATCCATGTTCAAACACCACCATCTTCCCATCACGGACAACCTCACCCTTTTATCCATCAATGGGCATCCTAATGGAGGTAAGGATGATAGGCCAGACCCCTCGGTGAGTAGATTCCTAGTCAGATCTGAGCTGGGATCTCCTGATTTCAACCAGCATCTAGAAGTAATTGCTCTACTTCACAGCAAATAAATTCTGAATATGCCACCAGGTTTTGACTGAAATCAAGTGAGCCACGCACCCACCCTGAAAGGAAATATATAACTCTCCACTGCCTTATCTACCTTTGTCAAATGTAGTGCAGCAAATCATACAAAGACTGAATAAATTGGGAGAGCTTTCATGGCCAATGAACAAGCCGACCTGAAAGTCACATTGAGCTTGCCAGTCTGGATGAGCAGGAAGTGCGTTACAACACAGATAGTGAAGCAATCACCCTTGTGAAAAGAAGCATTAATTTAGACTGCATGGTACAAATAACCGATGTGCAGTCGATATCTGCTATTGAAAACATTGTCAATATTTGGTGCGTTCATCCTTCATTTTCAGTCACGTTCAGTCACAAGTTTCTTACCTGATGCATCCTCTAGTTTGGACATAGGATATGGATGAAGGAAACAGAATATTTTTGTAGTAAGTTAATATATTTGAGAAATACTTATTGTCATGCCTGCCTCTAGAACATTTTCATATCAATTAAAAATTAGGGCTAAGCTTTCTTTGTGGAAAAACTCCTGAGTAATCTTATTGTGTGTTATGTTGCTATCTCAACAAAACATGTAACCAAACTTAGCAAAACGCTATGGTCCAACACACAGCCCTAGGGTCACATGTAGCCCTCAAGGTCCTTTTTGGTGGCCTTTGGCAACATTTGATGCCCCCTCCCCCAGCGCTCAAATTCCTTCCCAAAGTCAGGTAAGCAAGGCCCTGGGCTTTAGGAAGGAGGCATGAAGGCTGGCTCTGACAGGGTCCCAGAGTCCTCCTGTCTCCATCACAAAGCCTAGTTAGTGCTTTTCCAGCTTTGAAAAGGAAGTGAGGGGGCTCTAGAATGCTGCCAGAGCCTCACGCCTTGTCCTTCCCAAAGCCTAGCACCATGCTTAGGCAGCATGAAGTTTGGTGGGGGTTGTCAAATTTTGGGCTCACTCACGCCTGCTGTGCAGCATGGCAATAAGTGACCCATAGGTGCTGTAGCAGCCCACTTGCAATCAAAATTTGGACCACCCTGAAATAGAACAACATCATCCATGAACAACAGATGGGTAGGGGAAGAACTTTTCTCTTGCTGTGAAATTTAAATCAAATTGACATTTAATCCAAGCCAGAGGAAGCAGGAGAAAGTTCAACTTTCCTCTCCTTCAAGGGGTCTTCCCCTCAAAGGTATTCAAATTCAGCTGCAGAAAACTTTTTATTGGCATCTATAGCATTAAGTAACAGGTAGAAATGTGCTCTGTTAGTTCTTCCATGCCTGTGGTGAGAAAACCTTTCAAGTAATTCAAACTTCATTAGGCACATCTTTTCATGCATTGTTTCGGCGAATGGAGGTGGGGGAGACAAGAAGCATATTTTGAGCAAAAAGCCCAAAAGGCGACTTCCTTCTCTCCACATTCTTCTGCTGCTACCCCACCCCTGACCCCAAGCAAGTAAACATGCTGATCTGGGCATCTTCTATATAATTATCTCTTACATTCTTGGTAGCTAAGCACAAGTCCTTGTGGCAACCCAGTTGTGTAAGAATAATCAGTCAAGAGAATAGACATATTCCTTTTGAGGGTGGGCGATAGCATTAAAAGTAATTTTTAAAGGCAGGAAGTAAAGACAGAAAGTACAGCATTTTACTTTTAAAAAAAATGAATTGGAACAGTTGTGTGGCATGACAACATGACCCAGAGACAAAAGCACAATTCTAAAAAGCCTATGATGACAAGAAAATATATCAAGATAGACAGTCCTTACAGACCCTCCAAGTTTCCCTATTTTCCAGGGAGAGTCTTTAGGATGTCCCTATTTTCATCAGAGAAAAGTTGGGGGGGTGGAGTTATGCAGCCCCTGGGTCATGGAGATGTAACTTTACAATCTTTAGAAGGCATCTGAAAGCAGACTTGTATAGTTTTATTATGTTTTTATATGTGTTGGAAGCCTCTCAGAGTGTAGATACTTGTCCAGGATGGGACACGGTTGCTCCACATAAAAGATTTCCTTCTTGCAAGAATGCTTAAAGCTCATGTGTAGATATGTGTGGATTTCTTGAGACACGTGTAACAATTAACAAATTTTGAGCTGAAGTGTGAGTGTGAGGGACTGGAAGAGCTAGTTTAATGGCACTTATTTATCTCCTAGAACAGGCATAGGCAAACTCGGCCCTCCAGGTGATGATAAGTCTTCCAATTTCCCTCTCTGTAGTAATCTGATCGATCCATGTGTGAAACACACCTGGGGGATAATGTAACCCTGGAATTCTGTACAGCACATTGTGTCCTGTGGTAAGCTCTCAAGGCTCTCTTCTTCATATTGTTGAACCTCATGGACAACAGCATTGGTATAGGGCATCCTCACCCTATCTTCCATGCCAGGGACATGGTTGGCACCTCCCACCTCATCGATCTACTGTTGAACTTTTGTTGTAATAAAAAACAACATTGAGAGCTCTTTTTCCAGATTTCTGAAACCACTACACATCTGACACAGTGAAAACCTTCAACATTCTCCAGCCGGAAGGAAAAGTAAAACTCTTACTGACAGGAGCCCATCTTTTAACACTTCAATTTTGACTTTTTAGTTTAGGAAAATATTTAACTGGAAGGCATCCTTATGGGAGTTTTAAAAACTTTGTGTGGCATGTACAACAGAGTGGAAACTTTATGCACTCCCCTCATAAAGTTTTTTTATTGATTGATTGAATTTATATTCCCACTCTTCTTTGCCATCTATATGGTAGGATGCTCATATCTCTGTTATTTCCAAACCTGGTAAAGACCAAGCCAGCTGGGCAAATTATAAGCTAATTCTGTAATTAATGTAGATACCAAGGTACTAACAATATTTCTTGCCTGTAATAGTAATTCAGTCTGCAATATTAACATTAGAACACCAAAATCAGTTCGACTTTCCCCCCCAAGGCTGCTTTAAGCAATAAAAGAATCAACACAGCTGCATTTTCTTTTCTCTTGATGCTAAAAAAAGTATCTGAAATATATATATATTTCTGAAGGCAATTTATTTTTGGTAGACTGAAAAATGGATTTCTTCACGAATTTACAGATTGGATTAGAATTTAATTTCAATCTTTAAAATTTCTTAATCCCCCCAAAGAAACGGATATTATTGCATGTTTTTGCTGCATGTAGAAATGTAATAATAATAATAATAACTACTGCTTTATTTTTTAGTTTTTCAGGCAAAACTAGATTTATTATTTTCCTAAATATACCTTCTGCAAAACAAAAACAAAATATATTGACATAGTATTTCATTTAGTTAGGCGCCTTATTATATTTCAAAATTACTGTCATAGCCTTAATTCAGGTAATTTACTGTTTTGAGTCACGTGGAGTTCAAGAAGATCAAACCTATCCATTCTTATGGAAATCAGCCCTGAGTGCTCACTGGAAGGACAGGTTGTGAAGCTGAGGCTCCAATACTTTGGCCACCTCATGAGAAGAGAAGACTCCCTGGAAAAGACCCTGATGTTGGGAGAGATTGAGGGCACAAGGAGAAGGGGACGACAGAGGACGAGATGGTTGGACAGTGTTCTCGAAGCTACCAGCATGAGTTTGACCAAACTGCAGGAGGCAGTGGAAGACAGGAGTGCCTGGCGTGCTCTGGTCCATGGGGTCACAAAGAGTCGGACACGACTAAACAACAAACTGTTTTGCAGTATCTGCTTCACACACACTTGTAAAGGTATGATCACTTGACATTCCATTCATTTTTGGAGCCTTGTTTTACTTCTGTTCTGTTTACTGTGAATAATTGGCATTGAATAATGGGCAATGTGTGGCATTGAAAAGTGAGGATAGCAACACATTATCACCCATGCAACCTGCTAGCAACTACTAGCTGGGATGATGGGAGCTGATGTCTGAGAATATCTGGATTAGCCTGTTCAATTTCTGCCTTGTCCAGGGGTGCTAACTTTAATAAAATATGGGTGGGGGGTAAGTCCTGCCCTGCATAATTGATCACAAGATGCGGCATATGCACCCCATTTGAATGGTAATATCTATCAACTTGGAGGGCAGCCTCCTCAAATATTTTACTGGGGGGCGGCTCCTATGGCCTGTTCCACCTAAGCTTGGAATATCTGGTTTTCCTCAGTACTGTTGGATTCAAATCTCTCAGTGCTTCCATTCTACTTACTACAAATAGTTTTGGAGGCACTGACTTGATCCCTTAGATCACTTAGAACGTCTAATGGCTTGCATTTGTACGCATGCGCTCTTCATTTTGTACTGCATATGAAAAGATGCTACGTCCATTTCTTTGAAATCTCCCACCAGCTGGAAGGTGAAGTTCTGGAGCAGAACAGAGAAGAACAGGAACAGTTCCATCCGAGCCAGGGCTTCCCCTGGGCATGCCCGTTTTCCTGGCAGAGAGAAAGAAGGCAGAGCCAATCAATAACCAAAGACCAAGATAGTGCACAGCAAATGCTAGAGTTTAAGAGGTTTTTTAAAAAACCAAAAACCAAAGCAAGCATAACAAGGGCAGCAATAGGGCCAATTCTCAGTTGGTGTCTACAGCTCTCTGCTTGCACACTGTTATGTACATGAAAGGTCAAGGTGGTTCAGCAAGTAGGTTTTTGAACTGTTGGTCTCCAGTTTGTCTTGCTTCTCTGACTCGTGGGTGGCATTTCATTGTAGACATGTTATGTAGCATCGAAGTACAGCAGGATTTGGAAGACCTGCTTGATGCTAATCTGGAATAGGCATGTTTTAAAAGCTAATTAAGCCAGACCAACATTCTTTTTCAGGTAATAGCCTGGAGGTAATTAGTCATTGGGATGCGGGTGGCGCTGTGGGTTAAACCACAGAGCCTAGGACTTGCCGATCAAAAGGTCGGCATTTCGAATCCCCGCGATGGGGTGAGCTCCCGTTGCTCGGTCCCTGCTCCTGCCAACCTAGCAGTTCGAAAGCACAAAGTGCAAGTAGATAAATAGGTACCTCTCTGGCAGGAAGGTAAACGGCGTTTCCATGCGCTGCTCCAGTTCACCAGAAGCAGCTTAGTCATGCTGGCCACATGACCCGGAAGCTGTATGCAGGCTCCCTCGGCCAATAAAGCAAGATGAGAGCCACAACCCGAGAGTCGGCCATGACTGGACCTAATGGTCAGGGGTCCCTTTACCTTTTAATGAGTCATTAGGACAACAGAAGATCCAAGGAACTCAGTGTAAGACAGCAAATGTGTGGGACCTCTTCATACAAATAAAGCCAAGAACTTAGACAACATGTGACCTATTTCTGGGGTCTGTGTGTGTGAAATTGCTCTCATTTGAAAAGCAGAACCAAATCAGTTTTACGCAAATCTGTGTGAGTTTGTGTGTAGAAACCCTTGCTCAATGGCTCCACATATGCATATTAGCTCCAAAGCAAATATTAGGTTAACAGGAGAAATACCCTTGCCCTTCATTCCATCACTCCAATTCCAGCATTTATTTATCTCCTAGAACAGCAAACTTTCTCACTGTCCCTCAGACCTTGTGGGGAGCAGGACTATATCTGGGGGGGGGGGATGAACGAATTCCTATGCCTCACAAATAACCCAGAGATGCATTTTAAATAAAAGGACACATTCTACTCATGTAAAAAATGCTGATTCCCGGACCATCTGTGGGCCTGATTTAGAAGGTGATTGGGCCAGATCGAGCCCCCAGGCCTTAGTTTGCCTACCCATGTCCTAAAACCATCAGTTTTCTCCCAGCGTCCCACTCCTACCCACACACTGGCCACCAGCCCCAACCCCACAACATGCGAATCAAGTCACCTGCAGAAAAAGGCATGAAGGCATTTCTTTTCCGGAACTGACCCTTCTCATCCAAGAAATGTCCAGGGTTAAACTTTTCTGGAGTCTCCCACTGGAGAGGGTCATAGTGCACAGTTGTGAGCATTGGAACCACAGTGGTGGACTTCAGGGAGAAGATAGACATTGCATTATTTGTTTTGGTTTCACAGTCATATAAGAAAGGACATTCTTTTCAGAAAGACAGTGATTGCTGAATCAGTCTGTCTCACATAATTGCACAGCATTCTGAAAAATCACCAGAAATGGAGTAGATGGGGGGAACTTATTACGACTTGTCTCCACACTGCCTGGAACTATGGCAGATCAAGGCCCTTCATGTGATGCTAAATCCCTCCCTTTTCCTCCCCATAGTAAACTGATCATTCCATGCGTGAATCATACCTGTGGAATGATGTAGCCCCGGAACTCTGTACGACACGTTGTTGCACGTGGGAAGCCCTCAAGGCTCCCTTTTTCAAATCGTTGAGTCTCATGGATAACGGCATTTGTGAAGGGCATCCTCACCCAATCGTCCATGCCAGGGATGGGGTTGGCACCTACCACCTCATCAATCTCCTGTTGAACTTTTGCTGCAATGGAAAGCATTCAGAAAATGTACTTCCAGAACTCTGGAGCTGCTTTTCATCTGACACAGTAATATTTTCTCAAGCAATTTCTCTTCCAAAATGCAGGGAGCATCATCTGAATATTTGTGAATTATTCACATGATTTATGCTGTATTTGTGATTTTCTACTATGTTCTATCATGCCATTATTATTAATTGTTTGTAAGTCACTTTGGGATTCATCTGAGTGGAAAGCAGCATGAAAATATAAAAAATTGTATGTCAAATCATCTTTCTCTTCTTAGAAACTAAGGCTAAAGTTAACCCCCATTCAAACCTCCTCGTCTGACATCTTTAGAGGTGTAGAAATACTTTTTTGTTCTGCAATGATCTTTATGAGTAAGTCTTACTGCCTCTGAACAGCTTTGCTGTTTATTTTATCATGCAACTTCCAATTGTTCATTGATATTTTCTTTACTTGTTTTTTACCATATCACTATTACTATATTAGTGAAATAGTCCATATTTTGCTGTTTCGTTGAATTTACTGCAAGTGACCTTTGAAAGATTTTGTGTTGGATAGCAGAGCAAATCAGATCTTTTGGCCATTTAAGTACCTTGAATGTGTGGAAATTTAGCCATCAAAAGGAGGCTGAAGACCAAGGCAGTGCTTGAGTTTGATGTCCCAGCAATAAAGAGACCAAACACGCACTGGACAAGCTCTTCGGTGCTGTAGATATTCTCAGGATTGGTTTGTTTCTGTAAACAAGGCAGAAGGGAAAGGAGGGTGGAGAAATTGAAACATCTCATCCTATTCCACACAATAACCTTGGTGGTCTGGTCTGTCATGACCTTGTCTTCTCAAGGCTATAAATGGAATGAACTGTGTTAACTTCTAACACAAGATGTACATTGCTTATTGCAATATAAAGTTGTGGTTCGAGGACCCGACCCCGGTGAAGTGAAATGAAGACACAAGGACACGTGCTATAAGGTTAATGGGCTAGGAAAGGCCACAACTTTATTGGTTACAGCATTTAAAAGGTATTGGCTTAGGCATTGGATCGAAACAAGTGGGTTCTTCACCAGTAGGTGGAGCCTGTCAATGCTAATCCGACTATAGGCTCACCCCTGTTGTCACCGAGGGTCGTGCCAAGGCCTCCCGCCAAGCAGGCATCGGACGGAATACACGACCCCCAGATTCCTTTAACGGAATACCCCTAAAAATTGAAGGCATAGGCGATGGCCACACCTAGCACTTCCACACAGCGCAACACATTATTCCAATGCCTAACCGCCACCCGAGCTAAAGGCTCGCCGCCAATACCCTCAAAGCTGCAACCAATCCCAGATGTTTTTAATGACACTAGCTAACCAGAAGTCAGTCCCCAGATCTGATAGGTGGACACCGTCATCCCGGTACAAAGCTTTGTCGCTAATCCGGATACGGTCATGGTAAATCACTCGGCCATCCATAAAGCGCACCCAACGGGCTACCGCCCGATTTACGAGGTTCCTGGTTCTTTCAATGGCCATACAGTCTTGCGCACCGCGCCACACAGTTCTTTTCAAGAAGGAGGACCAGCACACTGTCGTTCCGGGACACAGGGCTGCCAATGCATTCAAGTCTCTTTTTATGCTCGACAGCAAGTCCACACTCCTTTTGTTGCCAAGGTCATTCTCCCCTAAATGAATCACCAGGATGTCGGGAGAGCCGAGCTTGGCTATTTTCTCCCTCAGCAAAGGCATCAGTTCTTCCCAACGCATGCCTCTTCTCGAAAACCAGGAAACTCGAACATCACGTGGCAGACCAAGGTTGGGTGCCAGGCCGCAGCTCACCGCTCGCACGCGGGCCCAATGAACAATGCTGTGACCGCAAATCCACACGTTTCTTCCGGGCATAGCTGGGAATAAAGATAGAACAAAAGGAAGGGTAAGCAAACTAAGGGGTAGGCGCAAGGTTGCGAATATACGACTTATAAACATTGGATTTCCACCGGCCCAACTCTTTTATCCTTTCTGCCGGCAACCCCAGGTGCGCGGCCGTGGTGGTGGCCCCGATCCTGAACGAATGTGCAGCGTACTCATGGGGGGTAGGCCACAAGCCCCAATAGCCTTGCGCATTACTCTAGTGAATTGGTACCTCAACAGGGGCGACCCATCCTCGTGTATCAGGAACGGTCCTGGGACGACTGGTCTAAGGCGGAGAAACCGCCTCGTGTCCTTCACCGGACATGGGCCCTGCTGGGCCGACGCCGTGAGCTTGAGCAGGACACCCTTGCCAGTCTGATCGGTCTTGGACTGACGCACTAGTACTGACACAGCAGATTCGGATAGCTGTACATCCTCACACAGGAGGCCGCGAGTTAAACCCCGCGCACTAGCTTCACACACAACCTCACCAACTCTGAGCGCACCAAAAAAGGCTATAGCGTAAGCCGCAGAAAAGAGCCGTGCCTCAAACTTAGACCAACAAATTGTCCTGAGCTTTACGCGTATCTGAGATAGCAATCCATAAGAAATAGGCTTACGACCAACGGTCCTGGGCGGTTGCAACCTGCCCCAACCCTCAATGGCTCTACGGATCAGAAAATCGCTACATGGGTCTTGCGCAAACGTCGCCTTTGAAAAGAAGCTGATGGCTGCTACGTGGATCTTTAAGGTTTTCGTAGCACGTCCGAGGTCATCCAGATGGGACAGGTACTGCAGGATGTCATCAGTGGTGGTGGGGGGGTGTTATGTGACAGCCCAGACAACCCAAACCTGAAACCCAGGAAATCACACCAGGCCTTCTTATAGGACCTGAGCGTGGAAGGTGCCACGGACGCTAATACTCCCTGTATCACTTTGCGTCGCCAACATTCCACAGGTACTCCGGAAAGGGTTCGGGCAACAGTTGTGCTCCAGGTGCGAGCGACCGGAAACGAGGAATCTGGAACCGAGACAAGGCGTCAGCTATATCATTATTGGCACCTGGTACGAATTTGGCTGAAAATAAGATATTGTACTCAAGGCAACGGAGGACGAACGCCCGCAGGAGAGAGGAGACCCTCGCAGACCGCGATGACTGCCTGGCAAGAATGTTCACCACCGCCAGGTTGTCGGTCCTGAAGCACACTCGGTGATCTTGGAACTCCTCTGTCCAGATGTGCACGGCCACTACTATTGGAAAGAACTCGAGAAAGGTGAGATCCCGCGTGATGGCCTGACCCTGCCATGCTGAGGGCCAGCGTTGCGCGCACCAGCGCCCTTTGAAATACAATCCGAAACCTAAAGACCCTGCTGCATCCGATTGAACCTGAAAGTCAGATGATAGATTCAAAATATCCTGCCAAAGAGAGACCCCGTTATATTTTCCCAAAAAGGCTGTCCACACCTCGAGATCTGCTTTGACCGACCTGGGGAGGCGAACCCTGTGGAGGGGGTGTTTCAGACCGACTGACAACCTGGCAAGGCGAGCACAGAAGGGGCGTCCGGGGGACACCACCCTGCACGCGAAGTTAAAGTGGCCCAATAGAGATTGAATTTGCCTAAGGGTGATCTTCCTAAGCTTAAGAGTGTCCTGAATTAGTTGTTTAAGGGCTTCGATCTTTTCAACAGGTAAGCGGGATGACTGGGCCACTGTATCCAGCTCAATGCCAAGGTAAGTTAAGCGCGTGGCTGGTCCCTCCGTTTTTTCCGCCGCAAGAGGGACCCCAAGGTCCTCGGCCAGGGCTGAGAAGGCCTCCAGCAAGGAGGCGCACTCCCCCGTGTTGGCTCCACCCACGAAAAGGAAATCGTCCAGGTAATGCGTGACCCCAATGGTATTTGCCCTTAAACGCAGGGCCCAGTACAAGAACGTGCTGAAGGCTTCGAATGCCGAACAGGCAACAGCGCAGCCCATAGGCATGGCCTTGTCAACATAGTATTTTCCCTGAAATTTAAAACCCAGCAGCCGGAAATCAGCGGGATGTACTGGCAAGAGGCGGAAGGCCGATTCGATATCACACTTTGCCAACAACGCCCCGGGGCCGAAACTGCGGATCAACTTAACTGCCTGATCGAAGGTGGCGTATTTCACTGTGCATAACTCGGGCGGGATGGCATCGTTGACCGAGCCGCCCTTTGGAAAGGACAGATTATGAATGAGCCTGAATTCACCGGGGGTCTTCTTGGGCACAATGCCTAGCGGAGATATGTGCAAATTTGGTATGGGGGGAATATCGAAGGGGCCTGCAACCCTGCCTGCGCTGACCTCTTTTGCTATCTTTCTTTCAGCAACTTCCGGTCTCTCTCTAACTGATTTTTGATTGGGTGAATCTTTTGCAATTAATGAACCCGCTATGGGAATACGAAACCCACTGGAAAAACCTTCCCTGAGGTAGGAAGCTGCATCCTTATCCGGGTAAAGAGACAGAAGATTACAAAGGGGGACGAGCTTGATAGGGGAAAAGGCCAATCCCAAGACTACCTCACCGTCTGTTCCCTGCTGCGGGGGCCCCCCTGGAACTGGGATGATGGAACCCCCGGCCTCCACGAAAGGGCTGCTTCCCCCCTCTTAAGCAGGATGTAACAGGGTGGCCCCCGGCGCATCTTTCGCATTCATGTGTGAATTTACAAGATGGCCTTTGGCAAAACCCTTTGTTGTACTCCCAGCACACCCGACGCTTAAAATCCTTCCTTTAGTCACTTCTGGCCGACCGATATGAGTCGACTGGCCTCTTTTCCACGTACGGACCAACAGCCACGGACCATATACCATTCTCAATCTGATCCCAGCGTGCTAACGGGATCCTGGACGCCTTCCTTCTGAATTTTTTGTCATAGCTTATGGCCGCTGCCTCCCCCGAAAGGGCACAAGCCGTGCGAATATGTGAAAGGTAGGCAACAAGGTGAACCGCCCGCTTGGGGTAGGCAGCGACAATCGTCCCCATAAAGGCTTGAAAACCATCAAGCCAATTTTCAAACGTCCTAGGCACAGAAGGGTATTTGCTCTTTCTCTTGCCATGCGAGGGCCTCTTTTCGCCCCTGCCTAGCTCCTCTGCCGGGGGCACTAATTTAAACATGTCAACAAACTCACCATTTAAAATTTTTGCTCGTAGTTTAGGGGATAGGTGATCACCTGGTATAACATCAGAGGTTGAGTAGGTGGATGAGGTGGCGTCTTTTACCAGAGCCCCATCCTTCCACTCCTGGCTCCCCCCAAACTTTTTACGATGGCTATTGGCCCTCCTCGACAGAGCCCAGTCTGGAAGACCAGATATTTCCTCGCCCTTCCCCCAATAGGAACCTAGCGACGCGTCGCTATCATACTCTGACGAAGAAGTACCTGTATCATCATCCGAGTCGTCCCTCCGAGACCTGCTCTTCCTACATGTATGCTTCTTCTTTTCGCGCCTCTTACCCGAAGGCTTCTCCGCGGTCGCGGCGGCGGCGCCCTCTTCCTCCTGTTGCGCGTCTTCGGCCGCCGACGAAGCCTCAGAATCCGGCGACTGGGCTCTGGGCCGCTTGTCCTGCGAGCGATTGGAAGAACTGGGGGCAGCAGGATTGTTATTGCGAGTAGACTTAGAAGTCGCTTTCCCCCCCCCGCGCCCGAGACCCAGATGCCGAAGCCCGTGACTGAGACCTAGTCCGCACCGATTGTGTATCATTAAAGAGGGCGGCCGATGTACTAGGCAGTTCGTCCCATTGGGAAGATTGAGAACTCTCTGGGAACTCCTGGGTATCCGGGATGACATCAGGGGAAGAGGGGGGACTGGGGTTCGCGTCGGGGAAGCGTTGTTCGTATTCATCTATAAAAGATCTAAAAGCGTTTAGGAAGTGGGAGACGGGAGGCTTTGTACTCTTAACCCTGCCCTGTCGTCCCCGTGATGCGCTCTCTATTGAGCCACTTGTGACCGCAGGCGCGCGCTTCCTCTTGGGAGCCATGAGGTGTGCCTTGTACACTACCAATGGAACGGTGTTTGTTAGTGTGTGTGTGTGTGAGTGTGTGTGTGTGAGAGTGAGTGTGTATTAATTAATTAATTTATTATTATTATTTTTTTAAATATATATATTTATTATTATTATTATGTATATATCAAATAATTAATTTATTAATTTTATTTATTTATTTATTGTGTTTATTAACTAAATCTATATATCTGTTTATACTATAGTTTTCTATTTATTTATTTATTAATTTCTTGTTTGTTCTCTCTTGCTATACAATCCACTTAATATTTCCCAATATAGGTTGTGCTAAATAGCCCAATCAAAAACGCACCAGTAAATTCTCTATTTATCCAAACCTTGTAATTATTATTGCTAATGAAACAAAATATATTCTACCAATTTGCCTGTGCCACAAGCAGGCAGTGGCTCAGTGGGCTGGTAACCACCGTATTGTTACTCCAAATACAAAGAATCACTACCAAAGCTGGTGGAGCATAGGGGGGAAAAAATTAATTAATTCGCGAGGGGCGAAGGAAGGAAGAATGAGGCCGGGGGAAGGCTGGCGCTGCAGCAAAATGCTGCTGAACACGCCCCCACCGTGGCCCCTGGTTGGATGGCCACCGAGGGGGCGTGAGCGCCAGCCAGGTGAGTGGGCAGCAGGGGGCCACGCCCCCTGCTAACCGGAGCTCGAGCCCCGACCACAACCCCTCCCCTCCCCTTCGGGGAGGAGAGACTATAATGTTGAATATAAAGACACCATTGAGAACCAGCGTGGGGGGGGGATTTCAGGCCACAATCTCATGTATGATTTCATTTTGGTCAGCTGCGTTTCTCCTGCCTGGGGTGATGTCTAAATAAACTGGAGGACAGATGTTTCCATCTGAGATTAGTTTGGAGATGGACTTTAGCAGCCACCAAAGCCAAGAGAGGGACAATGGTTCAGAATGAGGGAGTGCAACAACAATGAGGGACAGTTTCAAATTAACTACAAATGAGGGGCATCTCAGAAATGTAGGGAAAGAAAGTTGTGGATCTCCCTACCTTCTCTGACCTGATAAGGAAGCAATCAATATAGTCACGGAGATTCTGAGGATCCAGTGTCCTCCTGTGGGACTCCACTCTCTCACGAATTAAGGCCTTCATTTTTTCACAGTCTGCTAATATCTTTGTGTGCTGTCCAGGTAAGTAAGCCATTATTCCTGGGAGTAAATTATAAATCTGGAACAGAAACAATGGGGAAATGAGGAAATTAGATAAAATGCAATCATAAATGAGATGAATGAGAAATGAGATAAACTGTATTTGCCTCTCTCGCATTCAGAGGCTATTAAATTAATGTGGCTTTTGGAGGTTACATGACCTACATGAAGGGTTGTGGTGTTAGAGCTGTGTGGTATGGGGAGAAAACCATATGGGATCCTTTGCTTTGCATATGCCCTTGACCTACCTACTTTTTTTGCTGTCTCCACTGCCATATAACCAGTAAGACTTCCTCTCTGGATTTCCTACATGTGTGTACAGAAGTGTTCACTTCAAACTACTTGTACCCAACAAACCCCATCACATGAGCAATGGTTGAAAAAAATGCTTCCTTTCATTCCCTGATATCTGTAATCTGAAATGTGTCTACTCAGATTTAAGTCCCAGTGAATTCAGTGTGGATTACTTTCAGATAAAGAGCTATGACTGTTCCCACAATCTTTTCCACATTTATTCAAAAGGAAGTCCCACTGTGGCGTACTACCTTGTGACAGGATGCAATATAAGCAGGAAAGAGACACAAATGAGATGCCAAACATCGTTTGGGGCAGCGAGTGCTGTGTCTAATCAGAAGTAATTATTATTGAATTACTCCCAGATAAGTGAATTTTGGATAGCAAGTGGGTCTGTCTCCCATTAGGAAACCCAGCAGAATATCCCTGTGAAGTATATCTTGGACACATTGGGAAGGGACCCTGTTTCTAAAATGATCTCTGCATATATCTCTGCAAGGTTTGTTTTCACCAGACTTTCCATGCTTCAAGTTTGGAGAGTTCTGATCATCTCATACTTCTACTGCTTTTCATAGTCATTTCTGATGGTTCCTCTAATTCTTTCTGTTGTTAACCTTCATTCTTTCGCAGCCTCTGAGTTGTTCCCACAAGCAAGTTAAAAACAAACAATTATGAGTTTCTGTGTGGATTTTATTTCTATGATTCCCCTCTATAAGTTCGCAGCATCTCCTCACACACTGGTGTTTTTGCCAAATCAATCCAAAAGTCTTTTCACTGCTGGCAGCCTCCATCTTCACTCAGTTCTGATAAAATCAAGTCTAAGCGTCTGCTCGGTAATTTTCCCAGACCGGTTGCATCAAACATTAGCCTTTCCAGGGGAGATTTACCAAATCAAACTGGAAACACAAATATAATGACATATTAAAGGCTCACCTCCCCCTATTAATATTTGTAATTCTGCAGCCCAGTCTTGACTTCCAAACATGGCAGATTTCCAAATTGAAAGTGCAACACAGCTCCCACATAGATACCAGGAAACCGTCCTGGGTTTTTTAACGTCTCTCCAGTGGCTAAAGAGATCCTGCTTCTGTCTGATGTCAATAAATTGGAGAATTTTTTATCCTCTTCCAAGCAAGCCAAAGATAGAAAGCCTTAATTATATAGCATTATTATTTCCACACAGTTTATAGTTTTAGAGCCATATTATATCAACAAATACAAAACTTTCCAACCTCACTTGTTATAGATAATCTAAATGGTTCTTCTGGTTTGTTGTTGATGTTTGTTGTTGTTTTTTGCCAAATAATATAATAAAGCAAAGTACAGTAATAAGAGAGGCTCCAGCCCTCTTTTCTTTCCATTCCAACATACCAACTTAGATGTTAATCCTTCTTCCACTCAGTCTTTATTGGCACCTCATAGGCTGGGTTAATTAGCAGAGTAATTCCTCCCTCCTCACTTGAAGTGTGTCCAAAACTTAAATCCAATTTTTCATCTTAAGAAATGGAACTTGATTCGCCAGCTCCTCCTTCCTTCCAAATTTGGGGCTGGTTTGTTGGGTATCCGTAGATGAGACTGTGTCTTCCCGTACCCCCGGGAAGATTTTGGGAGGCTGATCACTCCCATCTCATCCTCTAATTACCCCCGTGAGAGCCGGAGCAATTGAATTTTCAGCCATCTTCCATGGCGCCTCAAGCAGAAGTCCCAGAGGTGGCAACTGTTAGAGTTATTCAGCAGAATCCCTGATCTAGACCTTATTTAGAAATGAATGCGCCTCAAAGCTTTACTGCAGAACAGTCTTAAAAACTAGTTACAATAAAATAAATGTTGCAAAATAACAAAGTAAGACATTGCAAACAAGCAATAGGGTCAGTCCTTTATGGAGTTCACTAAATCTTCCACTCTTTGGTCCCAGAAGGAGATCCTGAGCTTCTTCATCCTTAAAGAACTTCTCTGCTGCTGCTGCTGCTGCTGCTTCTACTGCTAGTAGTAGTAGTAGTAGTCGTGTCCAACAAGCACACAGAGAGACTTTTCAAGTTTCAGCTTCCTGCTGTGAGAGCTCTGCCACTCATGTATCCAGAAATAAGTCATCAGGTCACTTATCTCACTCCAATGCAAAAATAGGAGCCTTCTCTAATGCTTTTGTCAGAGTGCAACTTTTTTGCTTAAGGTTACAGCATTCAAACACGGCATTTTATGTAAACTTACAACTTTAACAAAAATGTGATGATATTTTTGGCATTATTTACGTAAAGACATGCTACTGGGGTGAAGAACTGAATTGGAGTGCAGTTTGTTATGTGAGAGAAAGGCCTGTAACAGATCACACTGAGATGGATTGAACCACATTTTACATCCCTGCTGGTGACATAAGTAAATTTGAGAAAGCATGCCTGTTTGAGTGCAGAAATAGTTATCAGCAGAAACACAGAGGTGGAAGAAAGCCCCCCAGGTTCAGCATGCAGAAGGAACGACATGCCTGCATTGATAAAGTACGGAGGTAGCCCATGAAGTCCTGCACAATACGCAGGTTCTCCAGCAGCACTGGATCTTTGTAGTCAAACCGATTCCCAAAGACAACTGAAGAGAGGACATTTGAAACAGCACATGTGAAGCTTCTTCTTGGGTCAAAGGCCTGCCCTGCAAGAAAAACAAGATACAGTGAGTGGGGCCTGGCAAGTTGGTAGTAGTTGTTGTGTATTGAGTCAAAGGATTTTATATCTGTATTATTATTGTCTGTATTTGCATTAGGGTAAAGTAACTGCCTTTTGGTTCCAGAGGGTACAGCTACTATTGGTTCATTTAAGCTGCTGTATTTGGATCCTCTGTCTTATTGGTTTCCTCCAAAAGGCAGGACTGTGATTGCCTGATATTGTTCCCTCCAAAATGTATCCTTTCTAGCTAGTTCCCTGTCCCTATAAATGTAGCTCTCCCCTCCTCAGGTCTCAATCTTGTTTGCTTTAATAAAGAAGTGTTACTAGAGAACTGTCTCCAGCATATTATGTCAAGAGAGCTGAAATCACAAACCCCACGTCACAACAACTGGCGACGAACGTGGGATCCGGAATGCTGAGGAGCGGTTAAATGCAGCCCTGCCTCAGAGTCCGGATTGTAGCTAAGAACAAGACTCACTGGCCAGCTGAGAAGACGACCCTGCCCACAGGACAATGGAGAGTCCAAGGGTATTGGAGCCCTTCCAGCCATCAGAGCCCCACACGTGGGAAGACTACGTCGAACGCTTCGAGTTCTTCGCAGTGGCTCAAGGGATCACCGATGCCAGCAAAAGAAGGGCCACATTCCTGAGCTACTGTGGGCCTGAGATCTTCAAGCTGGCCAAGGCATTGCTTGCTCCAGCGAAGCTAAGTGAGACATCTCTCAAAGATATTCTTGCCTGCCTAACAAGCCATTTGGTGCCTACTGAGACCAAGATGGCCCGGCGGATGGAGTTTCATAAGAGGCAGCAGCGTGCTGGGGAGTCTGTATCTGCATTTCTAGCTGAACTGCGGAAGCTCGCTCAGCACTGCGACTTCCAAGATCTGGAAGAGACTCTCCTGGATCGGTT